AAACCTGACGGAATCGACGAATACCGACGAGAGCCACTAGAGTGGTTTGGGGAAGATCCCAGGATATAAGATCAATAGACCAAAAATGCTGTATTTCTATGTATTCGCAGGAAGCAAGGAGACACTGAAATTTCAGAGGCACCTGGCTGGCTCAGTCATGTGACTCTTGAGCTCGGGGTCAAGAGTTCGAGCCGCATGTCAGGTACGGAGATTACTTAAACCAATAAAACTTAGATTAAAAAAAAGAAATTGAAGGGCACCTGGGTGGCTCAGTGGGTTAAGCCTCTGCCTTCCGCTCAGGTCGTGATCTCAGGGTCCTGGGATCGAACCCCACGTTGGGCTCTCTGCTCAGCGGGGAGCCTGCTTCCCCCCTCTCTCTCTGCCTGCCTCTCTGCCTGCTTGTGATCTCTGTCAAATAAAGAAGTAAAATCTTATAAAAAAAAAAAAGAAGAAATTGAAATTTCAAAAATACGATTCAGCATTAAATTGATACAATCAACAACATAGATGAACCTAAAAATATGCTGAGGAAAAGAAGTCACACAGAAAAGAATACCTACTGTATGATTTCATTTATATAAAATTCTAAAAAATGCAAAGGAATCTACAAAAACAAAAAGCAGATCTGTGTTTGCCCAGTAGCTAGGAGGGGTAAAGGGGGCCCAGTGGGAAGGAGTAGAAGGAAAGAACCAGAAATGAGCAAAAGGAAACTTCAAGGTCATAAATATATTCATTATCTTTGTCGTGGTGATTGTTTTGTGTGTCTGTAAGTGTCAAAACTTACCAAGTTGCACATTTTCAACAAGGAAAAAATTATTATATGTCAATAACTTTTTTTTAATTTAAGAACATAGTTCTGTTTTTAAAGCAAGCTTTGGGCAGTTTTTAAAAATTATCTTCCCCTTGGCATCTCACCTTTTTTGGAGCTCACTTTTGATCCTAGGAACTTTTTCTGATTCAGAGGGGAAAAAATAACACACATACACACCCAACTTCCCAAAATATTAACCTTCAATCTAAAGCCGGTTTTCTTTCACACGTTTTCCTTTACAAGGTGTCTTGGCACCTTCCCTGTTATTCGGTTCGTCTCACCTCCCAGGGGTGTCGGCGGGAGAGAGTTGGTTTCCAAGGTCACCAGAGACAGTGAGGCACCAAGCTTGGGAGACTGGACCCCCGCAGGCAATGCTGACCTGCCCTCAGGGGGAAGTAAGGTGAGAAGCCCCTTCACCAAATGCCTCGAGAGCTCCACAAGCAATGAGGGAGCAAGTTTCTGGGCTCACATCTCAAGGGCCTGAGAGCTGAGAGCACGCTGGTAAGATCTGTCGGTCTAGCCACCCCCCTGCCCACGGACTTCAGAGTGGAGGGGACAAAGAGATGCTCGGGTGTGCGCGAGGAAGGTGTTCAAAAACACGGGCACGGTGCTATTTAACGAAAGCAAAAATAACCGTCTACGCTTTACTAATAATACCCGTCTTTGACATACGGGCCACCTAGCACCCCCTCTAAGGGTCCCTGCCTCAGAAGGCATCTGTCCCGGGCCATGAGGGAAATGTTTCCAAGAACCAGCCATCATGCCACATGCGGTTCAGACATTCACTTTCTTTATAATGTGATGCATCCCGCCAGACAAAAACGAGCCTGTTAATTGCTACAAACTTGACAATTCCTAGTAAAGACAGAGAGAATGACCCTGAAAATCCTTGCTCCGCAGAGCGTCACTGCTTATCTCCAGGGAAAGGCCCAACAAGAGATATCAGACACAGAGGAGATACACGCTCTTACTTTCTACGTCCTGTGCTGAGGATTAGCTGGGAAGAGGGTTCCGGCCCCTATTTTCAAAAACAACCACCACCCACTTAATCTGTTCCTTCAAAATGAACATGACAGTCTATTAATGAGTGAGAAAGCCACGGCTTTTCTAAGGGAAAGTCATGCCCATGGAAAAAACATTTGAAAACTACAGATGCTCCCAATATTGTGATTTTGAAAATGTATGTATCAAAAGCAATGTGTGTCACTTGTAAGACTTTTTAAAGAATTTTTATTGAGTAAACTCTACGCCCAGGGTGGGGCTCAAACTTACATCCCCAAGATCATGAGCCACCTGCTCTACCGAGAGGCTGGCAGGTGTCCCATCAGCTGTTAAAAGTTTTGTCTGCATGCTTGAGAAACTAAGAAACAGAATTTTAAAATCTGTTTTAAAAACCTAAATAGAGGGGCGCCTGGGTGGCTCAGTGGGTTAAGCCTCTGCCTTCGGCTCAGGTCATGATCTTGGGGTCCTGGGATGGAGTCCCGCATCGCATCGGGCTCTCTACTCAGCAGGGAGCCTGCTTTCCCCTCTCTCTCTGCCTGCTTGTGATCTCTCTCTGTCAAATGAATAAAATATTTTTTAGAAAAATAAATAACATAACATTAAAAAAAAAAAAACTAAATGGAATTTCTTAGGTTTGAGCTCATCTGTTAAAATTATAAAATGCGGGGCACCTGGTTAAGGCAGTCGGTTAAGCGTCTGCCTCCAGCTCAGGTCATGATCCCAGAGCCCTGTGCTCTCTCTCTGTCTTTGTCTCTCTGTCAAATAAATAAAATCTTTTTTAAAAAATTATAAAATGCAATACCTTCCAACCATTCAAGGACTAATTGACTTAAAATGTTAATTTACTAGATGAATTTCAATTAAAACCTTTGCATCGTGGTGAACGGATTGGAAAATGAATGTCATGATTAAATAAAGGCCATCAAGGGCACACTTCTTCCGTCTTTATCTGCCTTGGACAAGGATCTCTTGCAGTTATGACGGCCAGTAACATTCACTGAAGAGTAGGAATTTAAAAATGTACTTCATCTTTATCTTGATTTTTTTCCTGTTCCTGTTTCTATTCCTATTCTAGGACATGTTTTATAAAACATGTAATAAAACAGGTGTACGTAATTATTTTAAAATACTGCATCTCCTAAGAAAGCCGGGCATGTGTTTGGTGACCACTGGTTGGTCTATCCGGAGGGAGCACCCACGACCCGGAGCACCCTGTTGGCAGGTGTGTGGGAAGGAACTAGACAATGGGACAGTAGCAATCCGGGCTGCGGTGGCTCGGACACGAGCAGACCCCGCGTCTTTGGAAGTTCTGACCTAGGAGGTGGTGGAGATGGGCGCAGGCAGTGGGTCTTTCCTTCATTTGCCAATTTGTAGCTGGTATAATTTAGGGAAGTTCCTGGATTATTCCAACGGTCAACCCATGCTTATTAGTTTTCTCCCCTCTTGCAATTTGCAAACCCGCCCCCCCAACATTGCTGGGGTCCCCGGCTCCCTCCACACCAGCTCCAGGATGTGTGCGGGTCTGGCCCCAGGCGACTGTGCCTGCATTTCCCCCAGGAACAATCCAGCCGGAGAGGGAGGGGGAGGACACCGCCAACGGCCCTGCCTGCGAGGGGTTTACAATAGCATTAACCTGGGCAAGAAGACCAAGTCCATTCCCCAGTCCTAATGAAAAACTTTCCTTTTCATCTTAATTATTTTTAACTACAACGCCAGGGACCTTCCGACGCGCGCGTTACCTGCAAACATTTGGGAACTGTGATTCTCTGAAACTAGAATCGGCCCTGAGAGGCTCTTCCCCCGGGTTCAAAAGCACCACGCCGGGGGCACCGCGGTGCCCGGGAGCGCAGCCGGCCGCGGCCACGGCCCTCTGCCCGCACGGCGGGTGCGCGGCGGCTGCGCAGGGCCGCAGACGCCGGGGCCAGTTTCCGGAGCTCCCGGCACCCAGGAGGGAGGCCGCACGCACTTCTGGAGACGAAGATGAGGACAGAGGTGGCCAGCGGGTGAGCCGCGGCGGGGCGCGGGGGCGGGAGAGAGGCGCGCCCGCGGGGAGGGGGCCGGGCGGCGGGGGACCGGGGACCTGGGAAGGGGCACAGAGTGGGGAGGCGGCCCGGGGCCGAGGAAGGGGGAGCGGCGGGGGCGGCGCGGGCTGCCTCGGCGAGCCGGGGCCGGGGCCGGAGCCGGGGCGGCCGGCGGGCCGGGCCGGGCAAAGCCGTGGATCCCGCCGCAGCCGGGGCCGGCTAGGCCGCACCGAGGGAGGGCGCCGCGCGGGGGGCTGCGGGCCGCGGGGGGGGGGGCGGGGGGAGGGGGGGGGGGGGCGCGGGGGGGGGGGGGGGGGGGCGGCGCGGGCACGGGCGGCCGGCCGGGCCTGCGCCCCGAGGAGCGGCGCGCCGAGGGGGAAGGGCCTGGAAGGAGCCGCCGAGCCG